AGCTTGAGGCTCCGTCTCAAAAAGAAAAAAAAAAACCCAAAAACAAAAAATAAAACATAGGTCAGAATCCAAACCAACCCTACTAGCTTGGCATGCTTCCAAAGTGAGAACATAAAAACTTTTCTACAATACCTTCCATGTAGTAAGCATTTCATGAAGCAAATTATATGTTTCTTTTTTATTTTCTTTTATTTTTTTCTTAGGCTACTCAAGTGAAGAAGTGGGAATGGAGAAAGAAGAAAGGAAGCTATAACTAGTTGTAAATACCACTGTACTCGGGCCAGCCAAATTTCTTTTTTATTATTATAATTACTTTCCTGAGACAGAGTCTCACTTTGTCATCCTTGGTAGAGTGCCCTAGCATCATAGCTCACAGCAACCTAAACTCTTGGGCTCAAGAGAGAGATTGTCTTGCCTTAGCATCCCAAGTAGCTAGGACTATAGGTGCATGCCACAATGCTCAGCTGTTTTTTTTTCTTTGAGACAGAATCTCATTTGTTCACCCTTGGTAGAGTGCCTTGGTTTCTTAGCTCACAGCAACCTCAAACTCTTGGCTTTAAGTGATCTTCTTGCCTCAGACTACCAAGCAGCTGGGACTACAGGCACCTGCTACAACACCAGCTATGTTTTAGAAATGGGGTCTCACTCTGGCCAGGCTGGTCTCAAATCTAAAATTCAGGCAATCCACGCACCTAGGCCTCCCAAGTGCTGAGATTAGAAGTGTGAACCACCTCGCTGGGCCCATGCCTGGCTATTTTTAGAGATGGGTCCCACTCCAGCTCAGGCTGGTCTTGAGCTTATGAGCTCAGGCTATCCGCATACCTCGGCCTCCCAAAGTGCTGAGGATTACAGGTGTGAGCCACCTCACCCAGACCCTGAATTATTTTTTATTAGTAGTAGTTTTTTTTTTTTTTTTTTTTTTTTTTAGACAGAATCTCACTCTATCACCCTGTAATATCATAGCTCATACCAATCACAAACTCTTGGGCTCAAGCTATCGTCTTGCCTAAGCCTTCACAGTGGCTTGGACTACAGGCCCCAACTAACTCCAAGCCCCAACTAACACCTGGCTTTCTTTCTCTTTTTGGGGGGGACAGTCTCACTTTGTGGCCCTTGGTTGAGTGCCATGGCATCACAGCGCCTCGAACTCTTGAGCTCAGTGATCCTCTTGCCTCAATCTCCCAAGTAGCAGGGACTACAGGCACCTGCCACACGCCTGGCTATTTTTTCTTTTTTTCAGTTGTCATTGTTATTTAGCTGGCCCGCTGGGTTCGAACTTGCCACCCTCAGTGTATGTGCCTGACACCGTAACCACTGTGCTACGTATGGGTGCTGAGCCACCTGACTATTTTTAGAGACAGGGTCTCACTCTGGCTCAGGATGGTCTCCAACTCTAGAGCTCAAGCAATCTACCCACCTCACCCTACCAGAGTGCTAGGATTACAGGCATGGGCCACCTTAACCAGCCATTATTTTTGTCTATTTTTAGTAATGAAGGAGTCTCACTATGGCTCGGGCTGGTCTTAAACTCCTAAGATCAAGACATTCAGGCTTGGCACCCATAGCTGGCCCAGGCCTGATAAAAAAATGACAACTGCAACAAAAAGTAGCTGGGCACCTGTAGTCCCAGCTACTTGGGAGGCTGAGGCAAGACAATCACTTAAGCCCAAGAGTTGGAGGTTGCTGTGAGCTGTGATGCCTTAGCACTCTACCAAGGGTGACATAGCAAGACTATGTCTCAAAAAAAAGGAGGCACCTGTAGCTCAGTGGGTAGGGCACCAGCCCCATATACCGAGGGTGGCAGGTTCAAAACCAGCCCCAGCCAAACTGCAACAAAAAATAACCGGGCATTATGGCGGGCACCTGTAGTTCCTGATACTTGGGAGGCTGAGGCAAGAGAATCACCTAAGCCCAGGAGTTGGAGGTTGCTGTGAGCTGAAAACAAGCACTCTACCAAGGGCGACGAAGTGAGACTCTTTCTCTAAAAAGAAAGAAAAAGAATGTGGTTTTCAGGGGCTGAGGATGAGAGGAGGGGAAATGACTACAGTGGGAAGGGGAAATATTTGGGGATGATGGATCTATTCTGTATCTCAACTGTGATGGTCATTATACAACACATTTGTCAAAATGCATTTAACTCTACATCTGAAAAAGATGAATATTACTGTATTATATGCATCATATTTCAGGCTGGGCACCATGACTCCTTCGTATAATTCTAGTACTCTGGGAGGCCGAGGTGGGAGGATTGCTTGAATACAGGCGTTCAAGACCAGCCTGAGCAAAAGTGAGACCCTGCCTCTACAAAAAATAGAATATTTAGCTGGGGCTTGCCTGTAGTCCTAGCTACTTAGGGGGCAATGAGAATAACTAAAGCACGGGAGTTTGAGGTAGTTAGTGAACTACCATGACACCACAACACTCTAGTTAGGGTAATATAAAAACAAAAAATACATACTTCAATCAATCTGATTTTAAAAGACAAAAAAAAACTATTCAAGTTTCTAAAAAAGACACATTTTAATCAAAATTCCTTTCTGTAGGCTCAGTGCCTGTGGCTCAAGTGGCAAGGTGACAGCTACATACACCTAAGGTGGCGGGTTCGAATCCAGCCCGGGCCTGCCAAACAACAATGATGGCTGCATCCAAAAAAAAAATAACCAGGTGTTATGGCGGGCGCCTGTGGTCCCAGCTACTTGGGAGGTGGAGGCAGGAGACTTGCTTGAGCCCAGGAATTGGAGGTTGCTGTGAGTTGTGATGCCATGGCACTCTACCCAGGGGTACAGCTTGAGGCCTGTTTAAAAAAAAAAAAAAAAAAAGTTCCTTTGTATATACTTGCTATCCCAAATTCCTTTTGCCAGCTCAATAGGTTTTGTGTAGCAAGACGTAAAATACAAAAAGAAAAGGGCATATATACAAATCTTAACTATGCCACTTAATGGATCATTACAGAGTAGATATATCTACCTAAGGACCACCCACATCAAGAAATGAAACAATAGGCTCGGTGCCTGTAGCTCAGGGGGTGCCAGCCAAATACACTGGGGCTGGGAGATTAGAACCTAGCCAGGGCCTGCCAAACAACAATGACAACTACAACAAAAAAGCAGCCGGGTGTTGTGGCAGGCCCCTATAGTCCCAGCTACTTGGGAGGCTGAGACAAGAGAATCTCTTAAGCCCATGAGTTTGAGGTTGCTGTGAGTTGTCATGCCAGGGCATTCTACTGAGGGTGACATAGTGAGACTCTGTCTCAAACAAAAAAAAAAGAAGAAGAAGAAGAAGAAATAGCCTCCTGGAAATGGTTCTCCTCTACTTCCAAAAGTCCCTATCTGCTCCTCCTCCTTAGGAAAAACCAACTATTCTTTTTGACTTCTAACAACTATGTTCAGTTTTGACTGTTTTTGAACTTTATGCAAATGTAATCACACAGCATGCATTGTTTTGTGTCTAGGTGCTTCTTCCAATATTATGCTTATGTGGGGCAGGGAGATAGTCATTTTCAGTGCAGCACAGTACTTCATTTATGATTATACCATACAGTATATTAGCTATACATTCTAGCAGTGACAAACATTTGGGATTCATTTGGGTTTTGGCTATTCAGCATACAGCAGAAATGAACAAAAATATATATGCTGGCATATATCTAGTAGTGGAAATCCTAGATCGCAGAAATTGCAGATGTTTAGCTGTATAAATAACTGCCCAATGAATTCTCCCAGTTTTACCAGTTTACATTACCACCAGCCACATATCAGAGTCCCAGTTACTATCCTCACATACAAGTCACCAAGATGCTCACTGTCTGTTTAATCAACATCACAAAATGCAACACCTCCAAAACTGAATTCTTGACATCTCCCCACAACCACAATGAAAAATGTTCCAACCACAGCCTTCCCCACTTCAGCCAATGACAGCTCCATCCTTTCCATTGCTTAGGCCAAAATAAGTTTCCCTTGATTTCTCTTCCTCATCTCTTTGTCGGAAAATCATGTTTGTTCTACCTATATCCAGATTCCACAACTTCTTGCAAACTCCAGAGATACTACCATGATTCAAGCCACCATCACCTATCATCTAAATGACAGTAATAATCTCCAAATGTGTCTCCTTGGTACTGTAGGTACAACTCTACAGTTATTATCTCTTTTTCTTTCCTTTCTTTTTCTTTCTTTCTTTTTTTTTCTTTTTTTTTTTTTGAGACACAGCCTCAAGCTATCCCCCCCGGGTAGAGTGCCATGGCATCACGCTCACAGCAACCTCCAACTCCTGGGCTCAAGCGAGTCTCCTGCCTCAGCCTCCCAAGTAGCTGGGACTACAGGCGCCCGCCACAACGCTTGGCCATTTTTTGGTTGCAGCCATCATTGTTGTTTGGTGGGCCCGGGCTGGGGATTCGAACCCTCCATCTTAGGTGTATGTGGCTGGCGCCTTAGCCGCTTGAGCCACAGGCGCCGAGCCTCTTTCTTTTTTTTAATTTGAGATAGATTCTCACTCTGCTGTCCTGGGTAGAGTGCTGTGGTGTCATCATTGCTTACAACAACCTCAAACTCTTGGGCTTAAGCAATTCTCTTGCTTCAGCCTCTCAAGTAGCTGAAACCAGAGGCACCTACCACCAACACCTGGCTAATTAGAAAAGTTAATTTTTAGTAGAGATGGGGTCTTGCTCTTGCTCAGGCTGGTCTCAAACTCCTGAGCTCAAGAGATCCTCCTACCTTGGCCTTGCAGAGTACTATGATTATAGCTGCCTACAGTTATTCTCAAATGGTGAGCAACCAGCCACCTACAGTTATTCTCAACATAGCAGCCATGCCACATCACGTCACTTCTCTACCCAAAACAGGTGATAGCTCCCAACATCACTCTAAGTAAAAGTCAGAATCTTTACAATGCTTACAAAGTCCCTTCATTTTCTATTCCCTTAACTGGAATAACCTCCTCCCTTTGTCAATACCACTTCCTTCCAGTCATGTGAGTCTTGCTGCTATTCTTTGAATATACCAGACCCTCTCTGGCTATAAAGCTTTTTCCTCCACCTGAAATAGTCCTCCTTATACATTAACTTGCTAAACTCCTTCACCTCTCCAAGTCTTTACTCAAGTGTCATCCTATCAAATAAGCCTCACCACAACCACCCTATTTAATATTGTGCACACTTAACATCTCCACTTCCTTATCCAGCTCTTTTAACATCTTCCCTTTGTAGTAATCACTTTCTAATATACTGTGTAACTTACTTTTTCATTGTATTTATTGTCCTCCCACACTCTCTAACTAATGTAAACTGCAGGAAGAAAGAGATATTTTGTTTTATTCACTGACATATACCAAACAAATTGGAGGCACATAGCTGACAAATATTCCTTGTATGGTTTAACGAACATCCCTTTTTATCAGCAGAAAAACAAAATAATTAAATTCTCGGGCAGTGCCTGTGGCTTAGTTGGTAGGGTGCTAGCCCCATATACTGAGGGTGGCGGGTTCAAACCCAACCCCGGCCAAACTGCAACAAAAAAATTGCCAGTTGTTGTGTTGGGCGCCTGCAATCCCAGCTACTCAGGAGGCTGAGGCAAGACAATCGCCTAAACCCAGGAGCTGGAGGTTGCTGTGAGCTGTGATGCCACAGCACTCTACCGAGG